TCTGACCCAACAATTCCGTTTCTAGGTAGGTAGCCTAGTAGCTACATGGAAGGTAAGATGTCCAATGTGGCAGAGCATGGCAGTAAATAAATAAACCAAACTCACTGCCATCAGGGCAATTCCAACTCACAGCAACCCTACAAGATGGAGGAGAACTGCCCCTGTGGGTTTCCATGCTGTCACTCTTTACAGGAGGAGAGAGCCTCATCTTTCTCCCATGGAGCGGCTGGTGGTTTTGAACTGCTAAAGTTGTGGTTAGCAGCCCAACATGTAACAAATGCACCACCCAGGCTCCTACATATGAATAAGTAACATCCAGAAATACCTAGCTATTCAGAGGAGGCAGGTTATTGAAGGACATCCATATGCAGAAATTACACCTCAACATAAAGACGATATAAACCCTTCTACCTGGTCCAATAAGCAACATCATGATAAACAGAGAAAAGATTGACATTGTTAAGAAATTCACTTTACTTGGATCCACAAAACCATGTGCGGTGAAACAAAGGTCAAGACATCCTGCACCATCCCCATAATCTAGTGCAGACCAGACCGCTGTGAGCCATATAGGGTTGTCTTTGGCGAATTTTCTGGAAGTAGATCATCAAGCCTTTTTTCCTGGTCTGTTTTAGTCTGGGAAGCTCCGCTGACACCTGTTCAACAGCACAGCAACATGCAAGTCTCTACTGACAAGTGACAACTGCACCTGAGGTGCTCTGGCTGGAACGCAAAGCTGGGTCTTCTATATAAACTAAAGCAGACACGCACGCGCATACACACACACACACACACACACACACACACACGCACTCCTTGCTGCTGACTGACTCTTTATGACGCTATAGGACAGAGTCCAACAGCCCCTGTGGGTTTCTGAGACTGTAACTCTTTCTGGGCGGACAGAACCATGGACTACCAAAAGAACAAACAAATCTGTCTTTGAAGAAGGACATCCAGAATGCTCTGTAGAGGCAAGGATGGGAAGGCTTTCATTTTATGTACTTTGGACATGTGATCAGGAGAGTCCAGTCCCTGGAGGACATCATGCTTGGTAAAGTGGAGGGGGACACAAAAGAGGAAGGCCCTCAACAAGACGGATGGACAGTGGCTGCCACAATGGGCTGAACGTAAGAACGATGGTGAGGATGGTGCGGGACCAGGTGGGGCTTCATTCTGTTGTGCATGGGTCTCTATGCGTCCGATGGACTCGATGGCACCTAACAACAGCAATTCTTTATGAAAGTGGAAAGCCTCATCTCTCTCTCACAGAGCAGCTGGTGGATTTGAACCAATGACCTTGCGGTTAACAGCCCCAGGGCTTCCCTGTACAGAGTAAGAATTCTCCCACAAAACCACCAATGCCTCATTTTAGCTATTCTTTATCTGAATGTAAATTACCATATGTAGTCCCCAAATTGAGGCTCACCTTAACATGAAGCTGAGAAGCATCTGGTGTATTCAGTAGAACAACCCACAATACTTCCCAACACTTCTTAAAGTCATTTCCTCTTAACAGTGTGGGCGGTTCTGGAGTTTCAATTTATCTTGAGTGCTCAAAAGTCTTTTGTACAACCAGCAAGGCCGGCAGGCACCAGAAACACTTAACAAGTATTTAACTCATTGTTAATATTTAACTCCAATCAGTATAAAAATTAAAAAGGAACAATCAGAAGCCTTTAGGATGTAGGTCTATGCCAGTTTCCTGAGTTGGTATTTGGAAATCATATGATCTCATTGAAATGGAAAATGCAGAGTTCTGTTGAAACATATTCTCACTGATGGTACAACTCTTCTTGACGTAATTGAACTATTGAATGGTATACTCTGTGGATTATGTGTCGACAGAGGTGTTGTTTTATTATTTAAAAGAGGTACACTCACTGTTTGTTCATCATCTCGTCTTTGGGGGGGCACAGCCATTCGTTTTTCCACCACGTCCAACCAAAGGGGCTGATGACAGAGAAATAAACACCTTTTAAAGCTGACTAGACCCATTTCTATATAAAACAGATACATTCCTAAAAAATGTAAGTTAGATGAATAAGGGATTCTAATACCGACATTATTCCAAGTTTTATCTTGTAGCCCACACTACTGAGTTAGGTTTAAAATGGTAACTGCTGATGTCCATGTAATAAATAATAATATTCACCTTACCGTGTTCAGGAACACTCTTAAACAAAAACACATTAACAACAACAATAAAACATCCTCAGAAAATTAAACTCCCTTTTGAAATCAAGAGAACTTCCTTCTTTCAAGGGCTCACTTTCAAGGGAATTTTGCTTTTAAAAGAACTGAGAGAACTAGGGAGACTCATGATTACCTCACTCCCAGACAGGTCTATGGGGAGACAAGGTAGTTAGGAGGTAGCCATTGTAGGAGCACTGGGAAGCAGAATGTAAAAAAAATCACAAGGCCCTCAGACTCTGAACTCAAGCAAAGGTAAATCTCGTTTACCGAGCATCTATCAGACACTTTGCATTGCGCAGGGGAGCTATGTCCTCAGCCTGCTCTCATCCCCATAGGATCATTGCCCTGGAACCGGTGAAAAATTCAGACCCAGAAAGAAGAAATCAACTTACTTGCCCACCGTTTCAGCTCTGCAGCGGACTAAAGCTGATAGGACGCCTCTGGTGCTTTTCTTTCTCCTGTCCCCATTTGTGGACCAGATAAGTATTCCCTGGACTTGCAACAGTTAGGGACAGAGGAGGAGGAGAGATACAGGAGAACACATTGTGCTGGTTTCTCAGCAGAAGTGCCTGGGAAGGTCACACTACCCTACTTTGGAGTACAAGGGAAAGATACTGAGAAGATGGTGGGTGTTTTCAAAAGGAAAGTATATAGATCTAGAAAGGAGAAAAGCAAAGAGGATCAAAGCACGGCTCTGTACCATGCTTTCTTCGCTCGATCTGTCCTGAACGTTATTCCACTTCAGGAGAGACGTCCCTCTCCCTAATCAGCAGTCGCTATACAGTGAACCCTCGCCACTTCGCGCTTCGACTTCCACGGCTTCACTCTATCGCGGTTTTTGCGTAACAGCGCATGCTCTGTCATTACTGCCACTGATTGGCTCATACTGTACATGTTTCTGTCTGCATCGCTACGTATCGGAGCTATGTATCAGATGCATTTTTGCTTTTGTACAGTGTACTGTAATTGTTTGCGATTTTTAAGAAATGTTATCTAAGCCCTATGATGGCTCCTAAACGAGCTGCTTCTTCTAAGCCTTCTGACAATAAAAATAAGCGCCAGAGGAAGATGCTCACCATCCAGGAAAAGGTAAAACTTTTGGATATGATCAAAGATGGCAAGAAAATCGTGGAGGTTGCACGCCATTTCGACTTGAATGAGTCTTCCGTTCGCTCCATCCGTAAAGAGGAAAAAAACATCCGTGCTACGGCTACTTTCACTTTCAACAAGGAAGCAAAGCGCATCGTGACAAGGAATCCTACTTCGTGGAATTTCATTTATCACAGTAGGGTCTAGAACCGATTGACCGCGATAAACGAGGGTTCACTGTAATAGGAATTGACTCAATGGCAATGAGTTGGGGTTTGAGTAAAGTGTTCTCCAATACAAAAGGGTGCCCTTTTCTTTTTTTCCCTAAATCATTTTATTGGGGGCTCGTACAACTCTTATCACAACCCATCCATCCATCGTGTCAAGCATCTTTGTACATTTGTTACCATCATCATTCTCAAAACATTTTCTACTTGAGCCCTTGGTATCAGCTCATTTTTTTCCCTCCCCTCCCTGCCCCCTCCCTCATGAACCCTTGATAATTTATAATTATTATTTTGTCATGTCTTATACTGTCTGACGTCTCCTTTCATCCACTTTTCTGTTGTCCATCCTCCAGGAAGGGGGCTATATGTAGATCCTTGTGATTGGTTCGCTCTTTCTACGCCACCTTACCCTGACCCTCCTGATATTGCTACTCTCATTATTGGTCTCGAGGGGCTTATCTGCCATAGATTCCCTGTGTTGCTAGCTCTTATCTGTATGAGTGTACATCCTCTGGTCTAGCCAGATTTGTAAGGTACAATTGGGATTGTGATGGTGTGGGGGAGGAAGCATTAGAGAACTAGAGGAAAGTTGTATGTTTCATCGTTGCTACATTACACCCTGGCTGGCTCATCTCCTCCCCAAGACCATTCTGTAAGGGGATGTCCAGTTGCCTACAGATGGACTTTGGGTCCTCGCTCCGCACTCGTCCTAATTCACAATGATAGATTTTTTGTTCTTTGATGCCTGATACCCGATCCCATCAACACCTTGTGATCACACAGGCCGGTGTACTTCTTCCAGGTGGGGTTTGTTGCTTCTCAGCTAGATGGCCACTTGTTTATCTTCAAGTCTTTAAGACCCCAGACACTATATCTTTTGATAGCCAGGCACCACATTTGCTTATGCACCCGCTTTGTCTACAGAACATGCCCTTTTCTATGGTCTGATTGATTCTCGTGTAGTCAATACGAAGCCTGTGTCTTTATTTGAAATGATCCCTGGTGGTACAGTGGTTAAACCTCAAGTGCTAACCAGATGGTAGGCTGAACCCACCAGCTGTTCCTTTAGAGCACGGGTGGGGGACCTTTATCTGCCCAGGGCCACTGATATATTTATAACATCATTCGTGGGCCATCACAGTCCAACACTGAATCAACTCACCCCTAATGTGCTGGCTGGAACTGCTTCTCCTTGGGGAGGTGTGTGACATTCCCCAGCTCTGCTCTAGAGAGATATGTGCTTCTATAGAGACTACACCTTGGAAACCTGGGGCAGTTCTACTGTGTCTTAGAAGGGTTTCTGACCTTCAGGATTGACTGGACAGCAGTGGTTTGGGTTTGGGTACACTTATTTGGAGTCCTTGGATGATGAAAACCATTAGAAGTTCTAAAGTTGTCAGCTACTAGTGCAAAGGTTGGAGGTTCAAGTCCACTCGGAGACAACTGGTAAGGAAAGTCCAGCAATCTACTTCCAGAATCTGACACACATGAAGCTTCCAATCAGAGTCAACTGTTTTGTTTTTGTTTTGTTTGGGGGGGGGGTGTTTTTAAAGTGCCTTTGTGCTAAAAGTTATTCAGATAATTATCAGAAATTCAAATTTAAGTAGGCTTGTTTTGTCCTATCTAGAACCAAACTGAGCTCACCTGCACTGAGTGATTTTGACTTATAGAGGCCCTACAGAGCAAAGTAGAAGTCTGCCTTCTGGAGCCTGTAGAGCAGCCTCATCTTTCTCCCGAGGAGTGGCCAGTAGGTTCAAACTGGTGACTTTTTGGTTAACAGCCCAATGTGTAACCCAGTATGTCACCAGGGCTCCTTATGTGCGATGCAATACAGCAAATTTGGAAAACATGCTTGATGGTCTGTGTTCTTTTTCTATATCCATTGCCCAGTATTCAAGGAAAACCACTCAAGTTGCAGGGCTATACATATGCAACTATGTGGCCCTTACGGAGAGGAGAGAGAGGCAGAATCTCCCTAGTACAGCTCCGTTTTAATCACTCATACTTGGTAAGGTAGAGAGCCAACAAAGAAAAAGGAAGACCGCTAAAGAGATGGATTGACACAATGGCTACAAACATGGACTCCAACCTAGCAATGACTGTACCAGAAACAGTTGAGATGGGGCTTGTCTGAACCTAAACCCACTGCCACTCTGCAGTGTAGAGTAGCACTGTCCCCTCAGGTTTCCAAGGCTGTATGTCTGGACAGAAACACTACCCCTTCCTCCTCTCCTGGAGCCACTGGTGGGTTCAAACCACTGACCTTCTGAGGCAATGAGCACAACCATGTCCAATTGAAATGCAACACTAATAACATCGTGCCAGTGGTTACAGCAGTGTCCTTGAGGCCATATGATAAACCAAACAAAACCCAAACTCACTGCCATGGAGTCAATGTTGACTCATAGTGACCCTAAAAGGCAGAGTAGAACTGCTTCTGTGAGTTTCTGAAACTATAACTCTTTATGGCAGTAGAAAGCCTCATCTTCCTCCCAAGGCATGGCTGGTGGTTTTGAACTGGTGACCTTGTGGCTAGCAGGCTACCATTACATCAACAGAGGTCTCTCTTAAGGCACGGTAGATAAAAATGAGTCAAAGATAATACAAATATTGGATACTCATGAACAACCCGAGATATGCAAATAACACACCTTGCTTGGTAAAGTAAGGAGGACTTAAAGCACTTCCTGCTGAAGATCAAAGACTACCGTATGGATTACATCCTAACATAAAGAAAACAAAAATCCTTAAAACTGGACCAAGAAGCAACATCATGATAGAGAAAAGACTGAAACTCTCAAGGATATTATTTTTCTTGTATCTTCAGTCAACCCCCATGGAAGCAGCAGTCAAGAAATCAAAAAACACATTGAATTGGGCAAACCTGTTGCAAAAGATTTCTTCCTCCCAAAAAACAAACTCACTGTCATTGAGTCGATTCCAACTTATAGTGACCCTACAGCCACACTATAGAACAGGGTCAAGCTGCCCCTCTGGGTTTCTGAGACTGTAACTTGTTTCTGGAGTAGAAAGCTTCATCTTTCTTGCAGTTAGCAGCACAGTGAGTAACCACTCCATCACCAGGGCTCCAAAGATCCCTTTACAGTGTTGGCACTTTGAAGACCACGGTGTGCCCGACTCTGATCTAAGCCATCCATCCCCTCGTATGTATTCCAAAGATGGACAATGAATAAGGAAGGACAGGAGAATGGATGCCTTTCAAGGATGGTGTTGCCAAAGACTATTGAAAATACCATGAGCTGCCAGGGCTCTGACAGTGCTGTCCCATGACCAAGGGCCAGTTAACCTCTGGGCTGGTTGTTCACACCTTACTAGCCCATCCTCAGTAGACAGATGAGGCTATTGTGTTCGGTAAAGATTTACAGCCTGGGCGTCCCGACCTATAGTCGTTACATGTCAGAATCCAATGGAGGACAGTGGGTGATGGACGGCGAGAAGAACAAACATCTATCGTGGAAGAAGTACAGCCAGAATGTTTCCTAGAATCGAGCTTGGAGAGACTTGTCCCTGATGCTTTTGACCAGTTACCAGGAGACACCAGTCCTTGGAAAGGGACACCATGCTTAGTACAACCGAGGGTGCATGCACGAGAGGAAGACCCTCCGCGAATGATGGGCACAGTGGCTGCGGCCGTGGTGGTGACGAAGGCGCAGGCCTGGACGGTGTCGTTCCCTAGAACACAGGAACCGGGCTGGTTCCCGAAGCCCGTGCGAGGAGAGGAGGCACAGAGGGCTGCGGAGCAGGCCGCTCCCGGGGCCGCCAGGGCAAGGCGGGGAGAGAGCCCGGTGGACCCCCGTGACGCACGCGTGCGTGCGTACGTGCGTGCGTCCCGAGGCGCGGCGACCGCGCCGTCGTCATGACGACGAGGTCCCTTCCCAGCCGGCCTGGCGCCCGCTGCTGGTCCAGCGCCGGGGGCCGCCCCTGCGCGTCGTCGGCTTGAACTCCAGGTACTCCGGGCGGGGCCGCGCGCGCCCTGCGTTTGCGGAGACCGGTGAGTGCGGCGCCCGGGGCCGCGGGGAGATGGGGCGGCCTCGCCTCTCCGACGCAGACGCGTCTCCAGGGCCCGCGCCTTCCGCCTTCCGCCTCCCGCCTTCCGCCTCCCGCTCCGGAAGCGCGGCGGCGGGGAGGGGGTGGGGGCGGACGGTGGCGGCCGCGGCCGTCGCGCTGGGACGCCGAGAGCGTGGAGACGGCCGAGGGTTGGTTGCTTTGACCTCTTGACCGCAATCATGATAACTGTATTCCCCTACCTGCCCTGGAAACGGAACCAAAAAAAATAAATCTAGGAATTTAGTGTATGGTGCGGATGATGTCATTTGGGGGAAACGTTGCCTGATCGTAAGGAAATTTTTTTTAAAAATCACCCTACTTGTCTTCATACACTTGCAAGTGATGGTTATCTATCCGGGCACTCGTCTTACCTTTTTTGTTACATTCTAATGTGTGAGCCCCGGTTTATGTCTTACTCTGTGTTCTTTTTTTAAAAATCATTTTACTGGGGGCTCGTGCAACTCTTATCACCATCCATCCATCCATCCATTGTGTCAAGCACATTTGTACATATGTTGCCCTCCTCATTCTCAAAACATTTGCTTTCTACTTGAGCCCTTGATATCAGCTCCTCATTTTCCACCTCCCTCCTCCCTCAAGAACCCTTGATAATTTATCAATTATTATTTGGTCATATCTTAACACTGTTCAGTGTCTCCCTTCACCCACTTTTCTGTTGTCTGTCCCCCAGGGAGGAGGTTATATGTAGATCCTTGTAATTGATCCCCCCTTTCTACCCCACCTTCCCTCCACCCGACTGTGTCTTTTTTTTTCTTTTCTCTGTGTTCTTGTGTGTGTGTGTGTGGGGTGGGGGAAAGTATTAGACACCTGCCTTCATCGACAGACTCTTTTGGTCCCCATGGAATGAAATGACACTTTTACCCCATCCGCAGACTTGTCACCACACTCCAGACTGCCTTGGTCTCTCATTGGGCTCTGACAGTTCCTGCGCTGCATGATACCGTTTTATTTCCATTTCAAGCCTTCTTGGCTCCGTTGCAGAGTCCGTCCTACTTAATCCTTTCCTTTGACACAACGATCGATCGGCATCTTTCAACTAACTTTACGTGGACAAGCTATAGACAGGTGCAAAAACCTTTCTGAAAGGAAGACTTGATAGCTACCCTTAGTAGGTGCTCCACAAATAGGTAATAATGAATTGAAACTCTGGCCCTGACAGCTGTTCCCTGACTTCCTGATTAGTTCCTCAGGCACACCCCCTCAAAGTCTTGCACTTGATGGTCTAACCATAGCAAACCATTAAAATAGGACACAAGTCTTTCTGCAGGGGAAAATAGTGCATATGGCTATATTAAAGTGAGAAAATATTCACACCATTTGTGAGAGATAAAGGATTAACATCCGTAATACATAAAGAACCCGTTTAATAAAAAACTATGTTTAAAAAAAACAACACATATTTTAATGGGCACCGAGTACAAACAAGCAGTTTGTGGAAGAAAGTCAGGTAACCAGTTTACAAAACAAACATAAACTCAACCTTCTCATTAATCCTATGCTGGCAAAGTAGGGCAAATTTTTCATCCAGTAGACTGCAAAATGTTGGTGCTCTAATGTATCGATTGCTCTGAGTTCTGAGTTTGGTTGGGGTGTGGGGTTATAAAGTGTTGAAGAAAGCACAGTGGGGAAGGGTAGTGGGTACCAAATTGAGGAGGAGGACATTTTAAAAGACAGGTTAGCTATACCCCCTGCCACTACGATTGACTCAGTTCCGACGCATGGTGACCCAATGTTAATGGGAACAGACAGCCCCGTCATACTTAGGAGGGGCCACTGGGTTTGAACCACCATCTTTGCGGTTAGCAGTCCAGTGCTTATCTGACAGCGCCACCGTGTGAAGTGAATGGACGCTGATTCAGAAATTCCATTTCTGGCATCTAGCCAGCAGAAATGTTACACAATACACAAGGATGTTTACTTCAACATTGTTTGTAATTGTGAAAACTGAATGTCCCTTGTGGTGGTGTGTGCCAACCCATTAATCACTCACTGCCCTTGAGCCAATTCTGACTCATAGTGACCCGATATGACAGGATCGAACTGGCCCTGTAGGTTTCTGAGACCATAACTCTTTTGAGGGAGTTAGCCTTATCTTTGTCCTGAGGAGCAGCTGATGGGTTCAAACTGCTGACCTTTTGGTTAGCAACCCAAAGCATAACCACTGCGCCACCACAACTTCGTCTATGATAGGGTAGAAGTGCCCCAGGTTTCCTAGGACGAAATCTTTACTGGAGCAGATCGACACCTCTTTTCTCCCACAGAGGCGCTGGTGGATGTGAACGACTGGTCTTTTCATTAGCAGCCCAGTGATTAGCTCTTGTGTCAAGGAATGTATATATATTGTGGTAATGCAGTAGATGATTGTGCCGCTACTTAATTGAATAAGAAAGGTGTGTATTTATAGATGAAAAAATCTCCAAAAGATGTAGCAAATAAAAAATGTTTCAAACAATATATATAATCTGGTTAAGTAGGCATGTGATTTATGGCATAAATGCATAGAAAAGGAACTGAAGGATATACATCCATCAATTGGCAGTGAGCTGCATCCAGGGAGGGACATGAGGGTGGGAGAGGAATTAAAGGAAACTCAAATTTTAGTCTCTTGTTCTGTATAGTCATGCGTTTGTGTATAACATGTAAAGAAGTTGAATATAAGTTCTGTAAAGAAAAAAAGGATCAGAATTATTTCCTTTTCTCACGTACCTGCATACACTTGGGAACTATAAAGAAAAATAAAACATTCACAATGCAGAAAATTTTTTAGTTAGCTCTTTTAAAAGTAGCAAAAAGGAAAAAAAATGGATAAATGTGAGTATATTTTCATAGTGCACCTGAGTTGCTGGTTATTGCCCTGTATCTATAGAACTCTTAAAAATCGATAAGAAGACAGTACAGTGGAAAGATGGACCAGTGACATGAAATGCAATTTCAGAAAGAAATAAGATGAAAGCTGAAAATAGAAAAAGATGTTATCTTTACATATAATCTATGCAATGCAGATTAAAGCGGCAGTGAAGAACTTTTTCCATCTCTAAGACTAGTAGACATTTAAAAAGAAGAATGCCCAACATTGGCTAATTGTCATTCTCATATATTGTTGATGAATATGCAAATTAATAACAGCATTCCAGTAGAGCATTTTACCTTCCCTTTGACCCAGAAAATCCACTTATAAGAATTTATTCTAGGGGGCAGGGAGGGAAGGGAAAAAATGAGGAGCTGATACCAAGGGCTCAAGTAGAAGCAAATGTTTTGAGAATGATGATGGCAACAAATGTACAAATGTGCTTGACACAATGTATGTATGTATGTATATGGATTGTGATAAGAGTTGTATGAGCCCCCAATAAGGTGATTAAAAAAAATTGTATTCTAAAAAAAATAGCCAGACAAGCATGTCTGTATTGGCTATTGTCTAGAACAGCAGACTAAAAAAAAAAAAAGAAGAAGAATTTAAATGTCTATTAATAATGAACTCAAAAAATAAATTGGTACTGCATGCAGTGAAATCCCATATAAAATTTTCTTTTTTAGTTTCTTGTCGTGATGTGATATCAATAATATTATCCAGTAAAAATAGGTTTCTAAAAATTTTATACATATAGTAATGAAGATGTCTATGTCGTGTATGTGCATAGAAAAATTCTGAAAAGCGCTATCTCAAGAAAAGTAATTTGGGTTATCTCTGGGTATGATAGGCAGTTGTCCTTTTTCATATGAATGGGAATGTTTCTGTTAGTGTGTGTCAGAACATAAAATGAAGGTGTTCCAGGGTGGGGAGGAGGTGTATGGACAAGGGGCACTCTGGCTGCAGTATAAAGATAATAAGAGAAATCAAGAAGGCCTCCTGATGGGTATGACAAGCAGTCAAAGTGGGCGAAGGTAGTGGCCTAGAGCAAAGCACTGGAACTAGAAAACTAGGCAGTCTTGAGCTAGAGGCAAACCTAGTTAGTAGACGGCAGAGTCTGGTTTTGATCTACCTTATTATAAATCTGTGAGAAGAGGAGAGAGAGAGGGAATGAGTTTTTGCTCGAGAAGACTTTGGAGCATCTATGTCGGGATGCCTAGCAGAGGTAGTGCGGTGCACACGTGATTGTGCTGCTCAGGAAAGATGGTGATCGTGAACTAACACAGGAGCCTCCTAGTGGCCGAAAGCTGGAGCAGTCTGCACAGTAAAAGAAGTAACGTAGTGTTGGATTTTGATTTTTAGAATAAAATATATATTCATAGGGCCATATAGATATAAATAATGTCATAAATAAGGGATAAGGAACCACTTTTCAAGGCAGAAAAATTTAATAAAGTAGGGAAAAAGAAAATTACCATTAGCACAGCATATACCACATTAATATTTGGTATAGATAAGATTCATCAGTGGATGCTAAAATAGAGGGCAAAAATTTGAAGAGAAACAGGATACTTGCATAGTCTCAAAGTCCTGCCCCTTACTCCCAAGACACTCATTAATTACAAAAGGAAAGTTAGTTAACTTTACAGTGGAGAAACCCAATAGTACCGCTTTAATCTGGTGATAGAAGTTAATATCATTACTAAAAAGACATAACAACATTATAAGCCCCCACAGAATATGATGCATGAAAAAGAAACAGGATCATGTCTGTGGTATTCTTGCCGGACAATGCAAAATGTCATTCTTAGCAATAGAAAACGCTAGACAGACCAATTTGAGGTCCATTTTACAAAATAACCTTTCCAGGATGCCAAGGTTGTGCAAGACAAAGAAGAATTAAGGCGCCATGGCAGATGGGAGGAGACTAGGAAAAACAGTAACTGCACTGTGGGTGCCTAGGTGGGCTCTCAAACCCGAGAACACTCGCAGGAGAATGGTGACATTGAAACCATTGAGTTACTAGTATTGTACAGTGCTAATTTCCTCTGTGTGTGTGTGTGTGTGTGTGTGTGTGCGCGCGCGCGCGCGTTCTAACTGCGTCATGTTTATCCAAGATGTGAACACAGGGCAAGCTGAGTGAGTGGTGTTTAGGAGCCCTACAACTTTTTTCATTTTTCCTGTAAGTCTGAAATTGGGACAAAATAAGAAGTTAAAAAAGCTAAACTGAAGAACAAATACCAGAACCGTTGACCTAACTGATAATTGTTGAGGACCTACAAAACACACTACCTGCCTGCCACTTTGTCATACAGTAGTGGTTTATATGTTGTCCTGATGCTGGAGCCTGTGTCACCAGTAACCGTGGTACCAGCCAGGTAACCATGCTGGACGGATTTCAGTGGAGCCTATAGACTAGGAAGAAAGGTCAGTGGAAACCCTGTGGGTCAGAGCAGAATGTGGTCCGATACAGGGCTGCAAGGTGAGTCCCTCCTAGGCTGGAAGGCATTTAGAATACACAGTGGCTGCGCTAATGGGCTCCGGAAGAGGGTGCCAAACCCGGCAACGTTTCATTCTCCTCTCTGTGGGGTCGCCATCAAATGCAGCCAACTGGACAAAACCTAACAACCACCACTGCCTTCTCGGTGCCAGGCGCTGGGCCAAGCTTTGAAGTAGAAGAGTAAACAAGATAGATGAGGTTCCGCCTTCCAGGAGCCACACAATATTAAGGGAGAAAGATGGATGACTGAACAAACGGCAGTGAAAGAGGGACCGACCTCAGCTCACCTGTGGTGTCAGAGTCTTCCCTGGTTGACAGTGAAGCGTGAAGGACGAGTAAGTGTTATGGGGAGAGAGGCAGGGAGGTGTCACAAGTGGCAGAAAGCAGGACAGTGTGGGATAAAACAGCAGGAAGGTCATGGAATTCTTTTTTCTTTTTCTTTTTTGTTTTGTTTTACAATTTCCCTATGCACCTTTTTTTTTTTTTAACTGTGGTGAAAGTATAACACACTAGTTGAGCAATTTCTACATGACATTCCTACGGTGATTATATTACATTGTGGGATCTTACAAGATCCCTGCCAAAGACAGACTAGAATACCACCGCGAAGTTGGTATGTGAAGGACTGATGTCTGTAGGGAAAAAAAGAAATGGCCACCTTCAGGAGCACCCAGGTCTCAGCCCCATACAGCCGAGGCAAGAACGCGAGAGTGCCCGCTCCTGAAGCAAGAATCCTCTTGTGGCTATCCACTGGATCCTGAGGCCCTTGTCAGAGATGGGGCCACTGTTAACAGCCAGGAGTGACAGTTGTCTGAAAGGCACTGGGCAATCAGCTTCCAGTGACTGACGAGGATCCTGAAGCTGCAAGGAGTGTAAGGGGCACCGCCCGATGGGTGCTAGAACAAAGCTTCACATAAGAACAGCGAAGAAGAGTAATTGAATCCCAGTGGAGAACTGGATCTAGGTACACAAAATGAAGTAGAATATACCGAAGAATGAAATCAGATTCTCCCTTGTATAATAATAGTAGGTTCTCTTGAAGTAAACAGCAGCAGATTTTTTGGATTTGAGTTTGAGGTGAATTTATACCATTAAAGAGGGAGACTTGAGTCTCAACCTTATCTCACCTCTGTGGCTCTTATTCCCACTCAATCGCCTGGAGACTGTTGCCTAGATCCTGCCTCAGACCCATTAAATCGGAGTCTCGATATGGGGCTGAGTGCAAATGCGGCCACCTGTGAGAAGCCCCCAGTGTGTCGCAGGGCTGAAAACATTGAGCTCACACGCATCTCTGATGCTGAGAAGAGCCACAGGACTGTAATACTGCGCTATTCAGCCCTTGCCCTTGCGTCGTACAGCACCATCCTCTGCACGGTCCCAGCTCGGATTTACTCATTTCCCGCCATCCAGTGTGGACGAGATGCTTCTCTTCTCTCCCCCCCAGTATGCCTTCTCAGAATGCCGGACTTTCCCAGGAGGAGAAAGAGATGGATGCAGGAATACCGAAAGTCAGGACCCAGGTAAGTCCGCTTCCTCTCCTCTGACATGCTATTCTCGTTCTCAGAATGTGATTACTCTGCGATTTTAATCCTCAGAAGTGCTGAGCCCCCAAAACCCAAACCATGGCCTTGACACCCATTTGCTTTTGCCCAGGAAACGGGCGGCAGATGGTAATCTCTGCAAGACATTCCACATTTGCCTCGTCTGCCCCTTCACGGCTCTTTCACTTCCCAACATTCTCACCAGATCACGGACTCGTGTCTGTGCTAATTGTGGGATGAGAAACAGAAGCAGCAGCAGACTCCCTTTTAATGAGGCTTCATTTCCACAGCTCTCAGAACTTAAGCAATGCTCCCATCCCTTCTGTTGACACAAGAAGGATGCTCATGTCGCTGTGAATGCTGGGAGCTAAAGGAATTATTAAATATGCCTGGAGACACCTGCGGTCACAAGTCAGTGCTTATGAAGAATGTGTTCTATTGCTTCTAAAACCTGGCTAAACCCCTTATACTTGTTATTATAATTCCATGAATGGATTAAATATTACATAAACTGATGAATAGAGAAATTGGCCAAAGGCTTTGACAAGACGCGACAAGTGTCTATCCTTTAAAAACACTGCTATCAAATTATGTGTGAACAAAAACTATGTGACAGAAGGAAACAGCACACAGTCTCAGAGGACCCTCCATTACTTTACTTCCCAAATGTAAATATGCTCTTTTTCCACTTTTGTGAAACAAAATTCGATGTATGATGGGTATGGTGTATGCAGAAAATGCAAATGAGAGATCATTCAAATCCATCTCATCAGAAATGTTTGGCCCCACATCAAAAAGTTAATGCGTTTAAAGTGTACATTTATGTGTTTAAAATTTAATTATTTCAGGTATGTATATATTATCTTTTATGGATCGCCACTAGTCTTGATTGTTTCAAACAGATGGGCTTCTTCTTTTTAAAACTTTGTAAGATAACCATTATCCTCAAGTAGTGATTAAGCTCATTGGAAAGGATTTTTTTAAAAGACTTTATCCTACCCCATGGCTCAATTTTCAGCCAAACAATAGACAGATCTACAAAGGGGTGCTTATACACAGGTCTATAAGTGAGATGTGCACATACTTTAGAATAATAAATCTTTTTGAAACATAATTTATATGCGTTGTTGAATGCAAAACTGATGATCTGCTCTGTAAACCTTCACTCAATTCATAATAACAAGTAAGAAATCCACATCACACAGTTAATTCTCCAGAAAATATAATATTGAATATTGTTATCGATGTAAAAACTAACACATACAACCGAGGCTCACAGGAAGAAGAAATTCAGTTCAGGCCAGAGAGATGAGGAAAACTCCATGAAGGAGACAGAAGACTCATGGGCTTATGCTGCTGTCGGGTAGAATCTGGAGACTTGAGAAGGCAGGGAAGCCTTACAGACAGGAAATAACAACATGAGCAAGAGCAGGGCTAGGGCCAATAAATCAACAGCCACTATTGTTCCAAACACCCAGCCACAAATGGAGGATTTGGAACAAGAGTGCTTCAGATTCTTGTGAAGAGTCAATTCATTCAGTTTCCTCTTTATTGTAAGGCTCCCCACACACAGGAATGAAAAGCCACCAAGAGCCAAGGTGGCGTAGCTGTTTATCAGCATTCTAGCCAGAGGTAGTTGTTTTCATTTTCTGGCCCCTATCCTGTTTAAGAGGGAAGATCATTTATTCATTTGTTCAACTATATTTTGAGCAGCCAATAGGAACTAGGTTACAACCTAGGAAATCTTGGGGGCAACTCTACTCTGTCCTGTAGGGGCACTATGAGTTTGAATCAACACCGTGGCAATGGGTTTGGTTTTTGGCTTAAAGGACAGTATTAGTACAATTCAGGAGAAAAGTGGGACTTTCTACCCCCATAAAGAATTACAGTCTCGCCCCAATCCCAGCTACATGGACAACTGCCCCTCCGCCCAGAAGAATATGCTTTAGAGGTCAGCACTGAAGCTTCAACTCGGAGAGAGGGACATGTCTGATCAGAGCACCTGGGAGCAAATGAATGGGAAGAAAGAGAGAGTGGAGCACATCCTGGCCCGCCAAGCCTGAAGGATCATATCCCCGCTCAGAACAGCCAATGAGCAGAGTGGACCATGTGACGGATCCCACTATGAGACACAACATCCCTTGCTGACCCATGGCCCTACAAGGGACAACACTGAAGACTCAGTGTTGGGATTGGCCCGGTCTGACCCCACCACACCGAGGAAAAACACTAAGGGCATGCAGCAGAGCAGGGAGCTCCCGAGGAAGTGCAAAGGATAGACTTTGGGGCCAGAGCTTGGCACCCCATTGGACTCGGCTGGAGGACACTCCTAGAGGTCAACAAACAGACCTTGGTCTATCTTTGTTTTATTTTTCCTCTCTATTTTTAAATTAATTAATTAATTAGTATTATTGTTTGGTCATTGGTTTTCTTTGTTGTTGTGATCCCTGTGTTCTCTTTGTCACTTTGTCTTGCTATGCCTTGTTTTTTTGTGCATATTATTATCTCT